TGTGTGTGTGTGTGTGTGTGTGTGTGTGTGTGTGTGTGTGTGTGTGTGTGTGTGTGTGTGCATCATGCTGCAGGCTGCTGGCGTCCTCTGCTGGCTGGCACTGCTTACAACACTAGTGTTTCTGCCATCAGCAGCCTCACACAGTAAATTGGAGCTATTTTTGTACCAGTATTGACGAGTAAATCTTTTGGACACTGCCCTTCCTCACATTTTAACAATGATTGTGGCTCAAAATTTGAATGAAAAGCGAATATATTTTCTCACTGTCAAATATATGGTGAGTTATTTCAGATATTTACAGGGTAGTTTTCTCTAATGAGATTATTTACAGCAGAAACAATTTCTAACACACCATTTGTGCATTTGGACCGTTCATCGTTTGTGCAATATGTTTGTATCGATGGAGTTGCATAATTTGCTATCACAATCTTCCCTTAAAAGTTATGTTCATGTGTTTCTTACATGAACGTCGTCACGAGTTTCAATCCATATGTTCTTATAGGTATTTTTGTATGAAAAATATAGTAATGACTTACTTAAATCCATAACATTTAACAGAGTGCCAAATGTTTCTAAACTCTACGTACTTGTAAGAAATGTAAATAGTGTTAGTAAATGGTTGAACAAGTCAGATTTTTAAATATTTCAGATGAACTCAACATCATTGATATGCATCAGCATCCTCTTCTGAAGCTCTGTCATATTCTAAGAGATTGTATTATAGAAACATTCTTTTGGGATAAAGGCACCGCCAGATATTACAGCGTGAAACTGCACACACTTACTGCTAAGGCTGGGCGATATAGCTACTAGAATTTATATCTTGATATTATTTAGCCTTTATGAAGATGACATTGAAAAAAAAATCATCACTGTTTTATGCCATTTCAAAGTTGTTAGAACCAAAAAGCTATTGTAGCAAATTAGACATCAAAATGTTCAAACTAAAATGCAGTAAAAATCAAAGCATGTTTTCATGCTGTTCACTAAATGAACAAAAATAATTCTGTTTAATAATTGTCATTCATACACACCAAGCAATAAATATTAATACTTATTTACACGTTTTCCCCCTTTTTTAACAAGAGCATTTTAACTCTTAAATGTGCAGGAACTTTCAAATATATTTATTGCTATTTTGAATACAATAAATGTACTATTTATTGCATTAAAAATATTTAGCTATTTACTAATGCTGCTATTGCAACTGAAGTTTAACTCTGATGCTGTTAAAATATCTCTTTCATAACACTCGTATGCTGATGATAGATTGTGAACATGTCTAAATACATGTTCTGTAGGAAAGTCATCATAAATGTACAGTGAATATTCAGTATATCTCCCAGCCCTTCTCACTGCTATACATTTACATGTGCACCAATTATTATGCTGCGTACATATTTTTGCATTCATGAAACATCAGACACTCAGCTTCTGCATCTACGTGACGTCTGAATTACTGGAATCTATAGTCTTAGTTATTGGAAAGTAAATACACGTTTTAAGCAAGTTACTGTCAAAATCCATTCAGACCCATGAATTTACAATCAATGTATAAAACTCATGTTAAAGTTTTCAGAATATATTTGAGTAACGGTTAGAGATGACCAAGATTACCAATGACACGTCACCCATCATCCGTTTAATCTTGGACTAAATTGCACTAATATGAAAATGACGTTCAGCACAGTATTAGGCTTTTTATATTTACAGGAATCCACCAAGAAACATTTCAGAAGTGTATATTTTATGTGCGTTTCTAGAGGATCTATGACTAAAACTAGCCTCCCAAAGTCCCAGAGCCTTAACCACTAAAGCCTTTAGAAACGCACAACTGATCTTGTTTGACGTTACTGAAAATTTATGTGCTAAACGTTTTACTCTATTTGGGTCCCTCTTGTGAGTTTTCTATTTTCATTTACTAAAATATATGATGTTACAGAATTGTTCAAACTTCCCTGCTATTTTGATATATTGTCTTCTGAGGAGAATGATGAGTTTGAGCAGGTTTCGTGCTCCAGTGAGAGGAATTTCTCTTGCCATACTCTGTTCACTTGTTTCATTTGGCTCAACTCTTGACTGATTGTATTTATTCATGAATCGCATGCCTTGCATTTATGTTTGAATGTGGAATCATGGTACATTGCCACAACGGCTTTCATGTTTACAGCGCTAATCAGCTTTATATTAACTGGCTTGATGTGATGATTGTTGGTTTTCTCATTTGCTGCAGTGAAATGATGGTGACACTACAATGAACTAAAGGCACTTTATTTATCTGATATAATTCCTGATCATGTTATTGCTTGGTTATCTTAAATATACAGTAAGGATACAGTTAGCATTATTTCTAATACAAGAACTGCTTACTTTATTTTCTTGACTTTCTAGTAGACGTTAAGAATATGCCAGCAGCACCTGTTACTACCTGCGTATTTTTGTAGTCGGCAGAAGTGTCATTTGAAGTGATTTGTTTGTTTTTGACTGTATGATTAAAGGTCTGGTGGGATCATTCTGTGACTGATGTGTCTTGTCTGTGCGCCACACAACTCCACCGGTGATACTTAGCTCTGTTCTGCTTTTGGTTTGTTGGGTGGTTGTCAGAAAAGGACAAAAATAAAGAGTCTTTTTATTGTGCTTTTTTATTGTACTGTGACAACCTTATCCATGCACGATTACAAAACAATGAATAAATACTTAAAAAAAAAAATCCATAAATAACTATTCACAGTGCCAAAGAAAACGTCTAGGTTATGTATGTAACCCTCGTTCCCTGAAGGAGGGAACGGAGACATTACGTCAGAACAGACTGATGAATGGGGTCTCGCCCGAGAGCCCAATCACCTTCGAGTGATAACAGAACGAGCCAATAGTACGCGGAGTACCTGCGTCTGCAGAATTTGCATCGCAAGCTCCGCCCCGCTGTGGGTATATAAGGAGCAGTGCGAGCAACTCGCATTCAAGTCTTTGCTGAGGAGCCGAGCCATGTGACCCAGCCGTTCAGCGGAACAGCAATTGTGGCAAAGGGACGTAATGTCTCCGTTCAGGGAATGAGGGTTACATGCGTAACCTAGACGTTCTCTCAATCGGTCACGTTCAACGTTACGTCAGAACAGACTGACGAATGGGGTCCCTTCCAAAACACCACAATGGCTGTCTTCCAGTGACCTGCGTAAGTGATAGCACCCTGTCGTGAAGCCAGCACGAGCGAAGGGCTATACTTAACACCGAACACACTGGGTAGCATATTCCAGCTGGAAGTATGCTAACAGGCTGCCTGCTCGTAGGAGGTCTTACAAAGCACATATCAACCAGTGTAGCGGTGATAAATATGAATCTCTGAGGTACCCAGCCCGCAGGGTGGATATGTTTCAACGTCAGAGATGGCAAGGGTGGCTTGCCAAGGGAAAGACATGCTGTCGAGAGAGACTTACTGTGGAAATGCACACGTGGGATTGCCCAAGAGAGGAACCACAACACATGGAGGCACCTAGTCTAACACAGGGGCTGACCGACAGGGCATGCACGCAAGTGCTCGACAAAACAGTGCTGGAGGAACCCAGGGTTCTGAACTGTGGAACTCACCTGAGGAGAATAGCGCACGCATCCAGTCCGTGGAGTGGAATGGTGCAGCAAGCGAATTGACACGTAGCAGGTCCTGTTTACTGGCCCGAAGGGGCAAGTATACGGGAGGACACGGGCTCTACAAGGAGATTATAGAATCTCGCAAATGTGTTAGGTGTCGCCCAGCCAGCAGCTCTACAGATGTCTGCTATCGAGGCACCCCGCGCCAATGCCCAAGAAGATGCCACCCCTCTCGTAGAGTGTGCTCTCACTCTGAGGGGGAACGGTAACCGTTGGGCCTGCTATGCTAAGACTATAGCCTTCACTATCCAGTGGGCAAGTCTTTGTTTGGAGACAGCCTCTCCCTTC